CGGGCGGGTCACAGGTGTTACACAGTGCGGAGCCCGCGGTTGGAAGCATGAGCTCTGCAGAGTGTTACCGGGCGAGCAGGGGCTCGACCTCCATCCTCCTCTGCAATCAGGGCACAGCTCCCGGCCTGACACTAATCCCCGCCCTCGGTAATGAGGCCCCGGTGGTGGTGACACCGAGGCTTCGAGGCTTCGGATCCGCAGTGTGCGCCTCACACCAGCGGGTTGCTGCGCGTGAAGGGCGCATGCCCGGCTTCTGCACCACATCTGTCTGTATCTGTGTCTGTCTATCCATCCATCCATCTATATCTATCTATCTATCATTCTATTTGCGGTGTCGGTGGGTCAAACCTTGTTTGAATGTGCCAGGAATTCAGCAAAATACAGTGTAGTCAGATTTTTGCCACATACCATAGGCTTAGTTAACACCCATTAATGCCTCAGTGTAATCAGTTATCCATTTTAACCTGTTATGAATCTACCCTAATTCTCGTTAAGTCGTGTCTGCATAGAATCTCATGTTTAAACTCGCAGAGCGCTGGCTGAAACTACAGTGAAGTGCAAGAGACTCACTCAGAACTATGCAAAGCAAATGCTGGTGAAAAGTCTCCCTGTCCCCGGGTAACCCTCCGCCAAGCGTGCTTTATTGACAACGCTGGAGTCTCATAAACAAGGAGTAAGTGTTACTTTTGGTAATTATTATATAATCATATAATAAAATTATTTACCTGCCTAGCACTCTGTTTCTGGGCTGAGTCTATGTCAGATGAGTCTTGCCGTTCCTTCGCTAATGCAGTCAAGGAGACAGACACAGAATATCCCAACAAAAAGTGAGCTCAGTGAACAATTTCGTTCAGTCGCCAGCTGAAATCTTGATGTATATAGATCCTTAATTTAAGACAAGCATCCTGTCTCTGTTACTTAGGACTGCAGCAATGAGACCAAGGTGACATGGCCACAGTCGTGTACCAAGCGAGGACAGAGAGCAACTGAAACCAAGAAGTCGGGGATTGGGAGCCGTGAATTCAGGGCTGGGTTCAGCTGTAATTTTCTTATTGCCTCACAAGCATAGCGAACTTACCATCTCTTGGAAGATGACACAGATTATGGTCTGGGCCATTTTCTCTGAGCACCCTCGTGTCACAGTGGTCAGCAAAGGAAAGAACACCTGGAGGTAGAGCACATCCCTCATTCACACTGTTCCATTCAGAGTTCTCCCTGGTGGTCTGTGAGGAGCCAGCCTCACAGAAAGGCTGGTTTTCAGCAACATGATGCTTTTTTAACATTACGTTTTTTTAGTTACACTCCAACCCATCTGCTACTTAGCATGCGCTCTCTGTACTGAAACTTGGCAGAGTGAGTTCTGGGAAGCCTTTGGAAGCTGGCCTCCCTCTCTCACACGTGAGTACAGAAGAGAGCCACCTGAAACTCAAGAGAAACTCCATCGCCATGCTCTGCAGTCATCTTCACACTCTAGAACATTCTAGCACTTTGAAATCTCAGGAGGATCTTCTTAGATGCATTTCCATTATAGACAGGAGCTGGGTTTTTTATTTTAATTTTGTTCATTGAAGCAAGCATAATTATGCAAGCCTGCAATTCAAATCTTACCATTTTCATAATAATGAATTGAAGTAACATCATAGTAACATAGTCAAACCCAACTTTATTCATACATTTTGTATAGTGTTGAGACTATTTTCTCTTATAGCAATGCATGCTGATTACATCCCATAATGCACAGAGCAAGGTTGGCATTATATAAATTTATGCCAAATAAAGATGGTATATGACATGATAAAACTTTGTGGGCGTACTATTTTCTGAAAATGTATCTTCTGAGTCTAAAAATGGGAAATGATTCATTCAACAACTGTTTAATGGGTTTCTGCTCTTCATTCAACATTCATCCGACAAATATTATTGAACATCTCCTATGTGCCATGTAAGAGAAACAACCGCAAGATTTAATAAAAGCAGTGCAACATAAGAAAACCATTTTTCTTCCCCTGGATAATTCTAACCTCATTGGAGAATTATTATATTTCTCGGCACTTTGGCAGCAGGATAAGCAACTGCTTTTCAGATGCTTCGGCAGATGTTCTCCAGAAAGAAAGTCAATTATTTGTGTTATGACACCCACATATGACTCCCAGACCCAAACTTTCCATCTGTGCCCGTCTCACCGAATTGCCTACCTATGGAACACGAGTGAAGATCATTTATGTGTCTCACCCTCAACATTCGCTTGCGGTCACTTAGCACCTGGGCTATGTAGACATCAATAATTGTTTTGCTAGAAGGCCTCATATAAGGCTCTATTGCTCTTGTGATTTAAAATGCATTTCTTCTTAGATTGATGACTTTTCTAACCTAGGCTTGCAAATACTCACTAGCCCAGGGCATATGTATTGCAATGAAAAGAGGGAAAGTAATTCATTTATTTTATGTTTTTCTTAGGGCACCTACCATAAAGAAGAAAATACTGTGGGTTCAACCAAGTTTAACAACCATTTATTGAGTATCTACTAAGTTTGGGATTCCCTCCTGGATATTAAGAAGGTTAAAAAGTTGGAAAGATACCAGCCCAAATAACAGCCCTGCCCTCCTGGAGGTCCCAGTCTATCCAGTGAGGCAGAGGTTACACAAATAACTTCAGAATAAGCACTATATAATATATCCATACCTGTGCTTTTAAATTTTTGTAGAAGAGAGAAACCATGCCTGATATAGAGCATCTAGATAGACTTACTAGTAGCAGTAAGTGAGAGTCAGACTTTTAATGGAAAGGAAAGAAAAGGCAGCAGAAAGTCACATGGGGTTGGCCAATATTAAGTATTTTGCATTTTTATTTATATGATATAGATTCATTTGATGCTTCCAGCAAGTGAATGGAACGTCCACACTTGTCTGCTGAGTAAATTGACTACACTGGGTTAGAAGCACAAAAAGAACAAGATTGCCATTTTGCATGTTGCATATTGAGTAGCATGCTATCTTAGTCCATCTGGGCCACTACCCCAAAGTTCCATAAGTTGGGAAGCTTAAAAACATTGGGATTTTTTCCCATTTTGGAAGCAGTGAAATTCAACATTAAGGTGTCTGTCCATTCAGTGTGAGCCCATTTCCTAGTTCACAGATGCCTCCTGTCTTCACTGTTACAGAGGTGGCAGGACTAATCAGCATTGTTTTAGCCTTTTCCATGGGAACACAAATTTCAATCTCGAAAGCCCTTCCCTAGTCATTGGTTCATCAAATCACATCTGGTAGCACAAACATTCACACCACAGCACTCACTGTGTGCCAACCACCATGGAGGTCACTGATGTGAATGAATCATCAAAATCAACTCAATAACCCAATGGGAACAGTTATTTATTGTTTGGACCACTGGGCAGAGAGAGCTGGGTGACTCTTCCCTAGGCCAGGAGCAGGAGGGAAGTAGCCAAGTCAGGATGTGTGTCTCCATCATCTATGACCTTTTTCAGTCTCTGAAACCTCAAGAGAAACGGTGTTTTGAGCATCTATTTCATCTGCCAAAGGTAGACATCTCAATATTCACTTATTGCCAATTAATACTTACAAAGACAATTTCAGATATATATCCTATATTTTAATATGAATTAAAATAAAATGTGACTGAAGGAAATACAGCCAAGAGTTGAAGTTGGTGATACACACCTTTAATCCCGGCTCTCGGGAAGCAGAGTCAGGCAGATCTCTGTTAGTTTGAGGTCAGCCATGGTTACAGAGTAAGACTCTGTCTCAAAAAAGAAAGAAAAGAAAGAAAGAAAGAAAGAAAGAAAGAAGGGAGGGAGGGAGGGAGGGAGGGACGAAGGAAGGAAGGAAGGAAGGAAGAAGGAAGTTAGTAATGGGTCTTACCTTTAGAATTGAACTAGCTGTGTGTCTTATGGTGCAGCTAGACTAGAAATCCCTGAGAAGCACTGCCTTAGTTTTACATCAGCTTCCTATGTGTCCGGGAACAACACCACACTAAAGGTTACAAACAGGAGAACTGTGTTCTACCACAGCTCGGTGGAGGCTGCAGATCAGAACAAGCCGCCAGGGTCGCACTGGGACTCTTGGGACATGGGTCTCCCATCTCATCCTCTGATGTCATTTGGAATTCCCGCCATGTTCGCCTTTCTCTTTCCTCCTTTCTCCTTGGAAGGGTACCAGTCACCTTAGGTAAGAGAACTCGAGCTCACTGAGATGACCTCATCTCAGCTAATCATACCTGCCCTCGTCCCAGTTTCAAGTGCAGTCACATTCTGCAGTACTGGACGAATGACTTCAACTCATCCCTTGAGAGAACATGGAAAGTCAAGCTGTAGGAAACCGGCTTTTCCGTTTTTGGTTTGGTTTTCATTTGTTTGTGTTGTGCTTTGTGTTTGTTTGTTTATTTGACAAATGAAACAGATTTTTCAATGTCACAGTCAAAGCATGTTGTGATATGAAGGGGCTTGAGGAATAGGCTACAGGGGTGGAGAGATGGCTCAGTGGCTTAGAGCATGCACTGCCCTTGCAGTGGACGAAAGTGTGGTTCCAGCACCCACTGTGGGTGCCTCAGAGCTACCTGTCACTCCAACTGAGAGGGAATCCAACAGCCTGGTCTCCACGGGAACCTGAACTCGTGTACACGCCCATACATGCAATACTCATAATTAATGAACAAATCACAGCCAATCTTTAAAAGGCCTTGTATAGTCTTTCCTCCTTCCACCATTTTTTCAAGGCTCTCTCTGTGTAGCCTTGGCTGTCCTGGAACCCACTATGCAGACAAGGCTGGCCTTGGAGTCACCTGCCTCTGACTCTGGAGTACTGGGATTAAAAGTTTGCTACAGTTAATTTTGAATTTACAGTCACCCCAGTGCTGGACAAGTACCCTGCAGTCAGCCACATCCTCACTTCAAATAGTCAATTCTGTTTGGTGTTTTGTTTTGTTTTGTTTTGTTTTGAGACACAGTTTCTCTGTGTAGCCCTGGCTGTTCTAGAGCTCACTCTATAGACCAGGCACCTCTGCCTCCCAGATGCTGGGGTTAAATGTGTGTGCCACCACCACCACCAGTGCCAAATAGTCAATTCTTAACCACTGGTTAAGTTTAATGGACAGAAAACTTTCTTACTGGCTCTGAAGCAGAGCATGTGAAAAATTCCACCTACGCTTTAAGGGTCACTAAAGGTCAACGTCTTGGGGGGAAAATGAATCTGCAGTGTGGCTAGAGAAAGGGAGTTTTATATCGTCAGAACCAGGACCCCAGCACAGG